AGGCATGGGGCACCCAGTCTTTGCTGAGTTGATGGTATCTAGTGTAGCTTGAAATTTCTGTCTAAGATGAGTTCTGTTAACACATATGCCCCAAGCTCAGAGTGACCAGTCCTTTCTCATCGGAAACGTAAAGCTTAAGAGTGCTATTCTGCAGATATCTGGGACCCTGGACTGGGAAGCTAATCACTCCTGCTCTGAAGAGATGAAAAAGTCCCTTTAGATTAGAATTTGATTTAAACATTAATGTTGTAACTCCTTATGTCAGTCCTCTCATAACCACCCAATATGGCTTAATTTTTTTTGGTAAAAATAGCAAGACTGGGAAACTAGTTTGACCACTAGATGGCAAGAACTGCTCAAATATACCGATCAAAAGAGTCCAAAAAGCTGACAGTTCTCAAGGAGAAGGTACAAAAAATATATGGCAGGAACAAGTGCTGAGGATGCTTAGAGCCCTACTATTTGCTATCAAGTTAGGGGAACTTCCTCAAAATTTCATGAGGAGGACAGGATGTCAGTAAGATGTTTTGCCGTATGTGTCCATTGGGCTGTTTCATGAGTTGTCCGCTCGTGGTTGGGATTCCTCTGGAAGGAAGTTTTCATGCCTCCCTAAAGCACTTGCTGTTACTGCTGGGCAGAGTCTGCCCCTCAGAATAATTTTATTGTGTTAACTTGGCTTGCATCTGGTGAGAAACGCTCACAATTTCTGTGTCTTACGAGATAGCCAGTTTCCCCTGCCCATATTGAATTTCTTATCTGAAAATTTCCAGTGATCCAGGGAAGGACAGGTTGCACCTGCAAGGCAACACACTTACCTAGGGTGCCTACTGCCCTGATATTCGTCCCACTACACATCAATCATTCTGGGAAATGACATACAGACATATAGAAAACGCTTTCTTGGTGCTTCAATTTTCTTTTCTTTGTACTGCCATTGGGCAGAGATGTACCAGGTACCAGGACTCAGCAACCTGTTTGTCTGCCCTGATGACCTTTGCAAAGTGGGTTTCGCAGCAGACCCCTAGACAGAGTCAGACATCCCCAGCACCAAGGGCCTTTGGCAGAGACTTTGGGCATATTTCATCAGAACAATACCAGATTTTGAAGCTCTGAAATGCTCTGCTCAACCATGGTATACACAGCTAATGGCAACAGAGAGATCAGCAGCCACTGGGATCTCAGAAAAGACCTTTCAGGAAGAGGCACCTCCCAAATAGTGTCAGAACTGGGGACCATTAGGTCCCACCTAGTTGTTTCAGAGGAGATTGATTAGATTAAGACCTGAAAGAAAATATTGAATGTAATTTCCTGAACTTCACAATAATTAATTTTACCTCTGAACATTTATCTATGTCTATAGCTGTGTAACACTTTGGGACTTTTGCCAATTTCTTGATCAAATTCCTGGCTTTGAATGCCACTAAATTCTACAGTTTGTTAGTGCCTTAGGTAGATTTAGTTCCTGCTTGAGACGCTTCTAGTTGGGCATTTAATGTAGGTGCCTCTGCATGAGGTGGGTGTCTGGGGTCCCATTCTTCTACCCAGAAGAACAGAGAACTGGAAATCCTTAATTTATGAATCCATGCAGCCATGGCATCAATGTTATGACCAAATGCAGCTCTGATCCTGTTCCCTCAGCTTCAGTCTGGAGGCTAGTCCCACTCATGAGCCTTGCATGGAAAAACAGGGGGATGCAGATATGGGAAGGCAGAGCATCACCAAGGTGCATGTGTTTGTGTGTCAACACAGAGAGAATCCTTGATACAACATGATCCATTCCAGTTGAAATGTGCATGGAAGCTTAGCTGTTAGATCATGCCTCTCTCTAATGTCTCTGCTCATGCTGGCCGCAGGCATGCCAGGCAATTTAATTTGTTGAGCTCCCACCCAAAGAACAGCTGCTCATCTTGCTAAGTCAGCAAAAGTCAGCATCAAACATGTCTAATGTGAACATACCTGAGTAACTGCTTATCTTGGTCTCCAAAGGCATCCCCAGAACAGTGCCTGCCATGCTCGCCCCCCCTAATAGGGAGACTGTATTCCAAGGAGGGGGAAGAGGGGATAATGTGAACAATTAAGACCCCAGGCTTAATGCTCACTCACCAAACCTGACCACATCTGAACTACATTAAAACACACCTTGGGCTTAATTAGCTACATGCTGTATCCTTATATGCCCTTGCTGAGAAGAGCATGAGCAGAATTGGCTGCTCTTAATCACTTTGGGAAGGTCAGTGCTTTTCCCAGCTTATTCTTGCATGCCTCTTGGTGATCCCATACCTGCTTTAGGGTCCTGTTTTGGTCTGAATACCCTCCTTTCAACAGATGTGCTTAGGATCAGCTTTATTGCACTATCTTTGCACTGTCCCACTGTTTTGATTTACTCTGGCCCTCAGCTGTGCAATGGCATAAGCAGAGTGGCTGCAGGAACAAGCAGAACACTGATCAGGAGTCAAAGAGTGATACCCAGTGAGATTTGGATGCCTTTGCAAATGCTTCCTGACTGCTCAGTGGTTATTTCAAACTGACAAACATCTCCTCTTCCTGCCCAGGAACTACCATTACCACTAAGGTTAGCAGGGTAGCTCTGACTTGCTTTTACAGGGGTGACTTGGTTTCTTCTACATTTTCCAGAGCAGTAGGAAAATCATCCTATATGTATTGTTTTAAATGCCTGCTTCCAGCATTTCTAAGAATATGCTGCAAGACTTTTACTGATTTGTGTCCCCTGGTTAGTGAAACATGGACAGACCCAGTTGAGGGGCAGCCCACCCTAACTTCAGTAGTGAGAGCACAGGAGACTGCAGCCCTACTTCTCATGCTCCTCCAGTGCACTTCTGCATCTGAAGTCTAGACAAGACATGCAGGAGCTGAAACAAACTGGACTTAGATGAAAAATACTTCAAACCATTTTTTGTGTGTCCTTAAATCAGGTCTCAGCCTGAACCATTGCTTTGGAGTCTTTCTAGGTTTGCAACTGGATGGTTGAGCCTTCTTCCATCTCCCTTTGAAATGGTGAGGAGCTGAAGATAATGCCTTGACTATCTTTTGGCAGGGACCAGATCAGCGCAGCAACCATTTGGGGTGTCTCTGAGGGCCTGAAGCATCCTGCCCCAGCCTCCCTCCAGCTTTCTGCCACCATATTCTCTTCTCCAGCCACATAAGCCCTTTGTCATTCCCTGCAGCTCCCATTGAGGATGTGGCCATTCCAGAGGCCTTTGTACCTGCCAGTGGTGGACTGGTCCCTGTGGGAGAAGGGCTGGCCAGGTTTTTGATTCCTTCCCTCCTGCTGGCAATGCCAGATGGGGCCTGTGTGTGAAAACTGTATAGCCCAGCCTAAGTCTGAGCCATTGATTTGCTAAAAGGGAATTCCAAAGGTGTTGACCTTGCTGTCCCTTTCCTTCACTCCATCTCCAGCTCCCCTAATCCCTTCTGAATGGGGAGCAAGTACTTTCCTGCTCCTCCATTACCTATGCTAGATTTGGAGGACATAATGCTCCCAGGACATATACTCTTAGTGGACAAATGCTTTCAGGTGGGTGCACATGTGTCTGTCCAGAAGGAGTAACTCCAGTGGCCCAAGGGTGCATTTATACAACCCAGAAAGGCTGGAAAGACATTGAGCCACTCACTGGACTGGAACTGAAGCAAAACAGTTTCAGTCTCTGATGACCCAGAGCTGGAAACAAAGAAGAAAATACGGTGGTTCGAATCTGACAGGTTTGTGCTTGCAGCACCTAGCACCTGCAAAAAAACCCAAACAAACCCAAACAAAAAGAGAGGAAATTTGGATCTGCCAGATTTAAGAAGTTACTGCTGGCATAGAAGAATGAAGTAGTAAATGCATCTGGTTTGGGGTTAGGTGAGCGCTGCAGATGCAAGTTACAGAATGCCTGGGGATGAGATATGCTCGGTCGGTGCCAGCTGGCACAGCTGTGCCTGGAGGAATGTCCCTGGCAGCTGGGTGGTGGGGGGGACCCAGCCTGCCCAGTCAGTGTC